GGGCGGCCGGGGCCAGGCCTGACGCGGCCGCCCGCTGCACGGTCCACAGGGCCTCGCTCTGGAGCTCCTGTGTGGTGCTGCCCCTGCTGGCCCTGACCTGGATGTCGGCCGTGCTCGCCGTCACCGACCGCCGCTCAGCCCTCTTCCAGATCCTGTTCGCCGTCTTTGACTCGCTGGAGGGCTTCGTCATAGTGATGGTGCATTGCATCCTGCGCAGAGAGGTGGGCCGCGCGGGCGCCCCCCCCAGCCCTCGGCGGGGCAGATTCTGGGCCCAGCGGGAGGTGGGGGGCGCAGCTTCGGGGCCCCTCACTTCTGTGAGGCGGGGCGGCCCGGCTGCCGGAGCCGTGGCTCGTCAGTGTAAGCGCTTCTTCCCGGCTCGGACCCGGAGGGGGCTCTGTCCTCCTGGGGTCTTTGGGACCGAGGGCCACCGGCACTGTAAGCGGCTTTCAGCACAGCTGAGGCTCCTGTCCTGGCGCCCTCTGGGCCTCTCCCGAAGGGAGCAAGAGATGGCCAGCTGTCCCGGCTGCCGGCTGCCCGGTATGGCAACAGTCAAGGGGACCCACTCCCATCTCAGGGGGGTCGGGATGTGGAAGAACGTGCTCTTGACACGGATGGAAGAGGTGCCACCGTGAGGCTGGACGAGGCCCGGATGGCCGCAGAGGCTGAAGGGGCAGGAGTGGGTGGGCAGACACGTGGAATTATCTCCCCTCGGAACCTCCTAGAAAGATGACAAAGTGATTTTAAAAGCACTTAGATTCGAAGGGATGAGGAGAACAGGGGAAGGGTTTTGCAGCAAACCCCGTGCTTTTGGGGAGAGGAGGACAAGGGGTCCTGAGCTCAGCCCACCCGAGGCAGCCCGGTCGGCAGCGGGTGTGGGGGGGGCCGGGCAGCAGCTGCTTCACATCCTGGAGCCAGAGCGCTTCTAGAAGGGGGGTTCCCGGGCCCTCCGGATGCCCAGGGAAGGTCTGCAGGGGGCGGCTGGTGGTCCGCTTCAGGAGCGGCTTGGACCCCCTCCTGGGCTGGCAGCGCTGCCCCCACCCAGCCTCCCCCACCTGCAGCCCCACTGTCCCGGGTGGGGCCCTGGTCTGGGGGCACCCAGCACAGCTGACAGCATGCTGAGACAGGGACGCGTGAGCTGCACCCTGGCTCTGGGGCACCCCGTCGCCTGAGGCCCCCAGGCGGGAGGAGAGGCGAGCGCAGAAAGATGGGAGGACCAGGAGCCCGCGTTTCTGGTGTTGCGACGGCCCCATTGACAAGCTCCCGCCCACAGCCCCTCCTCCCGCCACATGTAAATGTCCAGTTGGGCATGAGCATCCCCTCTGAAATCCTGAGGACCCGGAGAGCCTGTGCCCGAAAAGCCACAGACCCGAGCAGCCGCGGGCCCCAGGCACAGCCCCGAGCTGGCGTCCCCAGAGAGGGGGACCGCCCCTGCTCCCCAGCCCTGCACCTGTGGCTGCCTGGCCCCGGCCGCCTTTACTTGTGCTAGTGGTTCTCACCGCGGGCCACCTGCTGCCCGTCTTCCACACACGGGCCAGCTCCGGGCCAGCACAGGCCTGTCGCTTCGGTGGCGGGTAGCCAGATGCCACACTCCGGCCAGGCTCTAAGGCCCTGCTCTCGGCCCTCGGCTGCCTGGCTTCCAGGAAATGAGAAGGGCAGGCTATCAAGAAGGAACATCCGAGAATAGGAGGGAGCTTGTAGGAGTTCAAACCCCGGGAGCAGACGCGGGAATATCCGGAGGGTGGGCCCACGCCGGGGGAGAGTCAGGCGCCCCCGAAGACACACAACTTCCCCATCAGCCCTCTGTGGCCTCCCAGATCCCACACGTGGAGTTTGTGCTACAGGGATCCTGCAGCCAGGGGAAAGTCGGGAGAGGGTCTCCGTTGGGAGGGGTTGAGGAGGCCATGCTGAGGAAGACGGGCCAGGAGCGGGTGGGCAGGGGCGATGCCAGGCAGCTCCGGCCAGCACGGTGGGTGTGGAACATTGGGCAGGTGGACGAGTAAGGTGGTCATCTGAGTCTCCTGGGGGGAACAGAGGGGGTGAGGCTGGCCAGGTGGCCTTCCTGGAGGAGGAGGCCACGAGGCACTTGGGGAGACCATCTGCTCTTCATGCCAGTGGAGAAATGCTTTCCCATCTGCCATCTCCTGGACTGCGGCCTGCCTGCACTGGGCACACCGTAGGTGCTTCGAGATGTTTGCTGGGCAGGTCAGTGAGTGCAAGGACGGGAGGAAGGCGCACCTGCACTCGGCCCAGCGGCCCTGAGGCCAGTGAGGCCCCAGCACTGCCTCTGATCAGCTGTGTGGCTGCGGCGGCGGGGGAACAGGTCCCCAGGTCTGCACTGGGTCTGAGTCTGAGCCAGGAACCCCCGGCGCACCCTCCTCCCGTTCACTCAGGATGCCTCCTCCAGGAAGCCCTCCATGCTTTCGCCGCCCCTGTGCCTTCCCTTATTCCCTTTGCACGTCATGGCCGTGAAGCTCAGCTCCTGAGGGTGGGCGGTGCTCGCTGCTGCGCCCAGAGCAGGCGGTGGTGGAGACGGTGCAACAGCCGACGCCCTTCGCTCACACTGACCGGCTCTGTCCGTCCTCTGCGGGCGAGCTCTGTGCCGGCTGCTTGGGTGGCCCCTGGCACGGAGCCACCATCACCCCCTTTCTGAAGAGTCCGTGGCCATAATGCCTGAGACCTCCCTCGACGGAGCACGCCCCACAGACATGCTGTCTCCCCCCAAGGGCCCTTGAGGACACTCAGGGGGCGCGTCTCCAGGGGAGTGAGGGCAGGGCCCCCCGCTTGCCCGGCTGCTGTGGACTCCAGTGCCCTCCTCAGGCTGACGGCCGGTCCGTCCGGACAGACTCCAGCGAGGAGGGCTGCAGCACGTTCGCGGGGGGTCCAGAGCTCCCTGACTTTGGAATTTCACACCCATGAAGGGCACAGAGAGCACCTCCGAGAGGGAAGGGCGGCGGGCCCCCCCCCACAGGCCACCCTCGCAGAGACCCCACCCCGTGCTACTCTCCCTTACCTTCCCGCCATCCCACGAGGATGCCGTCTGGGGCTGCTGGGGACCGCTGTGCTCTCTCTCCCCAGGTCCAGGACGCCGTGAAGTGCCGCGTGGTGGACCGCCAGGAGGAGGGCAACGGGGACTCGGGGGGCTCCTTCCAGAACGGCCATGCCCAGCTCATGGTAGGGCTCAGAGCTTGGTGCCCCCAGCGGTGCTGCCTCACGCTGCTCAGAGCTGCTCTGGGCTCCAGCAGTCCTTAGGAAGAGCTCCGAGCCCAGTCTGAGGCTGGGCACACTGAGGCTCACCAAGGTGACATCCCCGGCCCAGGGTCTGAGGGCGGGCAGGACCAGATGGTGAGAGTCTGGCTGGGGATGGCATCGGCGCACCCCCACCCCCGCTACCACAGTGCCCTCGCCCAGATGCCAGCCTCAGGGGGCTGTCGCCTCAGCTGCTGCCCTCCTGCACCCTGTACCTCTCGTGCCCCCCTTGTTGCCCTCCAGCCTGGCCAGGATGGGACTGGGCTCCCTCGGTCTCCAGCCGGCAGACCAGCCCTGGCCTGTCCACGCACCCTCCCCCCTGCCATGGCCTTGTCCCAGCCACGTCCCCTTGGGCCCCCAGCATCACACCTGGCGTGCAGCCTGAGGCACGGCACGGCCCTCCCACCCTGCTGCCCGCCTCGCAGGTGTCCACTAAGATGCCACCTCCAGGGAGCCCTCCCTGGCCGCCCGCCCCCACTCTTGCCACCAGGCCTCCTGTTCAGGTCCTGGTGGCATCCTGGCTGAATTCTCCACATTGTTGCTGGTGCCGTGAGCCCGGCAGGCAGGGGGTGCTCATTCAGTCCTCGGGGTGCCCAGCCTCCCCATGGTGGTTGTGAGCATCACAGGCAGGGCCTCAGCAGATGCTGGCCGTCGGACCTGGGGAGGCTACTTGGGTCCTCAGGGGCGAGGGCAGGGGTCCCAGACCCCCAGGCACTGCTCCGGGCCCTCGACCTGTGACCTCAAGCCAACCTCCGCGTTTGCAGAGGGGGAGCCTCTGGTTTTCCACAGCCCCAGGAGAAGACCACGCCCCCGCCGGTGGCCCCGCCCACCGGGCTCTCTGGGGGCGGGGCCTGGGTCACCCACTGTCGCCTGCGCCCGTCCCAGGCTGGGAGGGGGCAGGTGCTCTAGCAGGGAACTCCGCCACTGCTCAAGGGACAGCTGGTCTCACCCCAGCACCGACATCTGTGTCCGCAGCCTGTTCTGCTTCTCTGGCCGGCTGGCCTCCATTTCCTCATGCCCGGGGCTGTGGTGAGGACTACAGGTGACATCCTGCACACTGGCAGGTGGCGGCCTGGGCGGCAGGGGCTCTGGCGTGAGACCCTCTGTGCCCCCCGCCCCATCGGGGGACGTGAGGGACAGAGCGAGGGGGTCTTGGGCTGCAGTCCCAGGGGCCAGCGGTTGGGGGAGACTGAGCCAGGGGCGCCAGAGCGTCAGTGAGCTGCAGTGGGACCAGCCTCCCGCTTCCCAGCTAAGCCACAGGCGCCGGGAAGGAGCCCCCGTGCACACGCGTGTACACGCACACACGCGTGTGCGCACACAGGCAAGAGCACGCGGGCGCGGGGCCCCCCACCAGGGCCCACGCGAACACACGAGCACACGGGCAGCCTTGAGCTCGTGGCGCCCGTCAGCACTCAGGAGCCTGCACGCACGTGTGCACACACACCCCTCCGAGGTACAGCTCCGGCTCGGCCGCTTCCCGCCAGCCCGCAGGCAGCCCTGCCTGCTCACTCGCAGGCCCTCACCCCTCCCCGCCTCTGTCTTGCAGACTGACTTCGAGAAGGACGTGGATCTGGCCTGTAGATCAGGTGAGCGCCTGCCAGGTGAGAGCGACAGGTGGCCCTCGCCTGGGCCCACTTGCTTCCTTTCCTTTTCTCTGTGCGTCTGTCTGTCCATCTGTCTGTCCTCATCCCACCGCCCGCACAGCGAGGTTGGATCAGACCCTCCCCCGGGAGGCCTGGTCAGCACAGGGCCCGGCCGCACCAGCCACTTCCTGCCTCCCCTCCCGCTGCCCTGAGGCTGCAGGCAGGGCCTGTGGAAAACTGTCCTGGAGCTCAGGCTCAGCAGGGGTGAGGCCCATGCTGCGCGGGCGGAGCTCTTAGCCCAGGAGCAGACCCTGGGGTCCCCTGCGCTGGGCCTGGCCCTGTCCTCTCCCCGCCGTGCCCCCCGCCTCAGCAGCCGCACACACTTCCGTTCTTTGCTTTCCACGCTCTTCATTGGGGCAGTGAGGCTGCCCACCTCCATCCTGCCACCCAGCTCGCCACCCATCCCTGCCTGCCCTCCCTCAGGGCCCACGCTCTGTGTGGTCTTCATGTCTTCATCCCCAGTCCATCCACGGGAGGGTCGGTCACACTTTCAGACCCGGGGGGGGGGGCGGTGGATAGCAGTGGGAGCCGAGGGAGAACAGGGAGAAGGACCTACCACTGAGCCCTAGGCTAGCGCTGAGTTTCCTGGAACCAAGTGGAAAAAGGGACTCAATTGCCCAATGAGAGGGAGCCCCTCAAGGGTCACTGTTCTGTGAGCCGGGCGTCTGAGGCAGTGACAGGCAGTATCTTCCGGAGCTGTGGAGAACCAGCTGGCCACACTGCCTTGCATCTGTCAGATATTTGCGGAGCATCTTCTCTAGAGACAGCCGTGGGGGCAGGGCCTGGAACAGCTGCAGGTTGGCAGTGTCAGCTGCTGCCAGGTGGAGCCGGGAGGGCTTCCTGGAGGAGGTGGCCTCTGGTTGGGTTGAACGGAGGACTGGACAGAATGGTCTTCCACCTTCTGTCTTGGTCTTAGGCAGCCTTCCTGAGTGGTGGCCCCAAGACTCGGGGGCCTTCGGAGGCTGGGGCCCAGCCCTGCTCGGGTTGTCCTGGCCTCTCTGAGCCTCCGATTTCTTCCTCGTCAGTAAGCTGGCCCAGGCGGGCCTGTGGCCTCTCAAGCACCTAGTGGCTGGGGGCCGGGCTGGGGGTGAGGGGGGCACACCAGCTGTGGCTGGGGGTCTAGAGGATGTGGGGCTGAGTATGCGGGAGACCTGCAGCTGGGTCTGTGCAGGGGAGGTGCACCCTGGGTCCACGGGGCTTAGCGCTCACTCAGGCAGACCAAGAGACCTCACTAGGGGAACGCAGGTTTGGCGGATAAGATGGCAGGTCCCCTGCTGGGCCGCCCCGAGGATGTCGGCGCCTGGAGGCTGGAGATGAGAGGGGGCCCGGCCCTGTCTGAGAGGAGGGAGAGGACCAGGGAGGGGATGGCGAGTGACTGTCTGCTGGGAGGGTGTGTGCTCGTGGGGCGGCTGCAGGAAGCAGCTAACACGCGCTGCTGGTGTTCGGGGGCTGGGCAAGTCTGTGGCTGGGTGCCCGTGCACCCAGCCAGCAAGGACAGGGCCCTGCGGTCACAGCAAGCTTCTGGGGACGGGCCCTGAGTGGGGCGCGGGTGGGCAGCTGGGCCTGGCAGCCGTGTGCTCTCCACGGGCCAGTGAGGCTGGACTGACTGGTAGGAGTGGGGCAGGGGGTGGGCCAGCAGGAGCCCGGGTCAGGGGTCATGCGTCCCTGTCCCCCCGCAGCCGAACGGAAGTGGGCAGCTAGGCGTACGGGACACGGCACCCGGGATGGGCCGCCCTGCCCCCCCCCCACCGTGAGGAGCTGTGTCCCTGCACTTCCCAGAAGCGAGGGCTGGCTCCAGGGCCAACGGGGCCCCCCAGCTGCCAGGGAGTGCACTGTGTGGGTGGTGGTCATTTGTCCTCCTGTCTGCAGAGCAGACAGGAGCACCCCACGTTCCAGCCTTGTTAGAAGAGGCAAAGGAAACCCAGCCACCCCAGGGGCACACACCACATGGTGGCCCCGCTGACCAAGGCAGAGGGTGGCCTGCAAGGGGGCCCGGGCGCTGGGAACCGCAGCTTCAGGGCTGTCAGAGGGGGTGTGCCCGATCGGGCCCTGGCCGGGGCACCCCCGAGGCCGGCCTGACCTCCTCGCCTGTCCCCACAGTGCTGAACAAGGACATTGCGGCCTGCCGCACGGCCACGATCACAGGCACACTCAAGCGGCCGTCGCTGCCCGAGGAGGAGAAGCTAAAGCTAGCCCACGCCAAGGCGCCCCCCGCCAACTTCAACAGCCTGCCAGCCAACGTGTCCAAGCTGCACCTGCACGGCTCGCCCCGCTGCCCGGGCGGCCCCCTGCCCGACTTCCCCAACCACTCACTGACCCTCAAGAAGGACAGGGCACCCAAGTCCTCCTTTGCCGGTGATGGGGACATCTTCAAGAAGCTGGACTCGGAGCTGAGCCGGGCCCAGGAGAAGGCCCTGGACACCAGCTACGTAATCCTGCCCACGGCCACAGCCACGCTGCGGCCCAAGCCCCAGGAGGAGCCCAAGCACAGCATCCACATCGATCAGATGCCCCAGACCCGCCTCATCCACCTCAACATGGCACCTGATGCCGGCCTCCCTGCCCGCAGCCCACCCACCCGCCAGCCCCCAGGC